GATTATAGAGAGCGTCTTCTCTCGCTTTATGTTGCTACCACGACGTTCCTCGAAGCAGCGATGAACCTTGAAACAGAAGTCGGCCCGGTGCTGTCGTACACCCCGTACTACGTGTATCAGATGATGGTTGCGGGCGGATGTACTCTGCTGAAGCTATGCAAGAGTTTCTTCGCCGCGCACATCGACATGGATTATGCAAAAAACCTCTTCAACCGGACGATCTGGGCCATTAGACGCGTGTCCGTTTCCAGCAACGACCTGCCGGAGCGACTGGCGGAAGTAGTAGCGCAGATGTGGCGGCTGAACAACGTACCCACACCGAAATTGACGGCAGACGGCGGAGAGGTCGACGATTCGCTGATGCTCAAGGTGCGCTGCCGAATGAGCATGTCCTTGCTTTTTGACTCAGTCTGGCGGTGGCGGGAAGACGCGCGGACCAAGGGGCGTAATCTCGAAGGTATGCACGGATGCAAACACATCGACGTATGTATCGGAGACTGACACTAACTGCAGCTTATCTCAAAAACCCAACCAATCCAGACTCCAACGCCGAATCCTCCAACTCGTCATCTATTCAACCGACGCGCACCTCGACCGCGACACCCGGAGTCGCCGGCGCCGCAGACCCCAGCCTCGCGCCAGCCCCCATGCTCCCCCAGGCTAACATGGGCGTATCCGCACCGAGCGCTGTGGGCGCCCTTCCCAGCGGATTCATGGAACCTAATTACGAAGTATTCGATCCGCTGAACTGGCTTCTGGACGGACTGGTCGATTTGCCGTATTCATACTCGACGATATCGGGGATCGAGTCTCAGGGTATTGCATGAGCAGAATAATTCTGTTTGTTCCACGACTGACATGGCACATAACTTTTCTACACTACTTTACATATATTTGACGACTTTTTGATGTTTATTGTTGATTGATTGATGTATCATATTATTATACCAGCGAGATGATTGGATTGATGTCCGACACACGCACACCCCCCACACACACCTCCGACAACCCTTACGTTATGGAGTCGGACTGGAGCGAGGAGTTGGCGATTTGCTTTGCTTTGCTAGATTTATTCGATATGCTAGGGTTGGATTTTTGTTTTGTTTTGTTTTCTTCGGATGATACCATGTATCGATAGTTGATGCGATGCATATAGTTGCAATAGATGTATCTACGTGATTTTTCTACTCAAAAAGATAAGATTCTGGAAAGTGAGATATAGTTTGGAGGTACCATATTATCTACTAATCTAAGGTCTAGTGTATGTAGATTATGATACGGTTATAGTTATGGTTATCTTAGTCTCAAATCTAAGTCTAGCTTACCAAGTTCTTCAACCATGGATAGATATCACGTGGCTGGCGTATTCCAACATCTAACTACTCCGTTACTTCCATCTCCATTCAAATTACATAGATACCTTCTATCTATCTATCACCACCATTGAAATATATCAATAATCCATACCCACGACTTACTCACTTTTCAAAGAGGTTGTATCAATAATGCCAGAATACACAACCACCCGCCCTACAAAATCCCTCCTCATTCCTAAGAAACGTCCACTCAAAACCCCATCCACAAATATATCCAAGACCTATTCTACAGAGAAATACACACCGAGTCTATATTTCACATCAACCTCTACAGAACAAGACTCCAAACACAAACCCGCGAATGAAGGGAAAAATGCTGCTACAACAACAACAGAGTTCAATTTCTCCCTCCCGCCACAGCCGTTTCTTGATCCGGGATGTTGGGAGAGGATTCGTTCAGTATCTTCTTCTTCTTCTTCTTCGAGGTTAGGTGGTGAGTGTGGAAGTGGAAGTAGGAGTGGGAGCGTCATGCAGTTAAATGAGAGGGAGAAAGAGGAAGAGAGGAGACGGAGGAGGGCGAGGGAGGCGGAGTATGGGGGGATGGCTGTTCGGGGGAGGATTAAATGATTCATCTTTCTCTCTTTCAAATTCTTCTTATGTTTTCGTTGTGAGTCGGTTTTCTATAGTGTATGGAGTTGTCGGTACTTATTACTGTGGATATAGTTCTATGATATGTATGATATTTCTTATTGATTTAGGAAGGTAAGATTGGTAGCATCGTGTATGTAGTTGCATAAATCATCAGTAAGGTGTGGTATGGTATCTTCATCATCATGAATGGACTGGGACCATCCAATTTTCAAATCAAGAGCAAAACAATCCAAAACATAACAATAACAGACAGTACAAAATGCATGACTAATTCCAAACATATGCAAAATTCATCATCATATCGTCGTTGACGCCATCAATCATAGCATAGCATATAGCACATTCTAAATAACGATAAAGAGAGACATCACAGTCATTCAAAACTCTGCTGATAGATCATTCTGGTATTTTCAGCTGCGTGCTCGACTCCATCAAGACTGCCCCGCTGATACTCTGTTTGAGTTTCTCGCGTTTGGCTTCCCGACGGTGTTCGGCGTGTCGCTGCCATGTGCGTCGCACGCGTTTGCGGATGTTGCGGACCTTATTCGTTCGGAAGCGAAGCCGCCACCATGACAGGGATCGGAACCGCTGGTGGTGGAGCGATGTCTGTGAGCAGAACGCCTCGGGGCTGAAGACTTGGCTTCCTACGAGCGTGCTGCGGTTGGCGAGGTGTCGACTGGCTTGTTCGGGCCGCCATCTGGCACCCGGGCTGCGAAGCGCAGGACCCTCAAACACAACGCGCTGCTGTGGCATGCCTAACGAGTTCTTGATCACTAAGTCCGACGCCTCGGGGTTTGCAGCGGGCGACTGAGGAGCCTGGCGAGGCGACTCCTCCTCTGGTTCCGAGTCCTCCCAGAACCGACGAGGCCGCCAGAAAGGCTGCTGTCGCCCATCGATGTCCTTGCCGGCCTTGCGGTTCTTCACCGACGTCAGTGACAATGAGCGGACGAATGAATTGAAAGAGTCAGACCGAGGACGTACCAGCCACGGACGGCGGCCCGGGCCAAACCGACGGCCCCGGAGCTTACTTGGCTCGTTGGTGTAACCTGCCCCGCCCGGCTGACGGTCGCCGTCTGGCACGGGCGTCGGGGGCACGACCTGGCAGATGGGCGGCTTTGGCGGCTGGCGGGGGTTTTTGAGAGAAGATGTCATCTCGTAGCGTTGAGAGGGAGATTCTTCCATTCGGTGTTGGTACAGTTCAGGGTAGTCGGGTTGCCCTCGTTGTGTAGACTGAGCCTGCGGGTCGACCAGGAGCAGTGATTCATTGTTGTGCGGGAAGAAGACGACGGTCCTGGCCTCAGAGACTTCGATCAGGCCGGGCGAAGATGAAGGGATTGAGATTTGTGTGTACGGCATTGATGGTGGGCGCAGATGCGACATATCCTCCACTCCGATGATGATGGACTGCGTCTTGGATGCTTCCACAGCATCATGTGTCTCGCGGGTTGCGGTCTCTGCTTTAGCTAGACGTGGCTGCTCAGCAACACGATCATGAGTTCCATGTTCCGTAGTTATTGCATGGTCCCGCAGGCTCTCTGATGTCAAAGATGTAGTCCGTGAGTTATTTCGACTGGTTGGTGCAGAGAGCGAGGAGCTGCGGGCCGGGATACTCGGTCGGCCAGAGTGGCGACCACGAGATTCCGCCCGCCTCGAGCTGCTCGCAGTCGTGTCGGACGTGCGCTTCTGACGAGGAGGCTCGCGAGAGCCAGGCCGGCTACCCGATGCGGACGGGCCTTGTCGACTGGAGTGGCGCGAGCGGCTTTGCGAGGTATTTCTGCTGGTCGAAGTGGACGACTTGAGAGAGGAGGTTCGTTCCGGGATCACAACCACCGGCACCACATCCACGGTTTGCTGCTGGGTGTTGACGCTGGAGGCTCCAGAGAACGAGATTTCCGACGCGATGCTCTTGCGGTCGCTCTCAGTGATCCGACCAGCTTTGTGTACTAGGCGATGTTGCGAGTCCGCGCTGGAAGCGGTTGATCCATGTTCTGGGCTGGGGAAAGGCGAACTAGCCGAACGCAGCGAGCCTCTTTTATCGGTATGACGCAGGGATCTTCGAGTGGACCTTGGAGCGTCGATGATCATTACCTCGACAGTGGACGAAGACATGGACACGTCTGACAGCCGGCGAGCGTCGTCGTGCTCCGCAGAGTGAGGCTGGTCCTCCGCACGTGGCCAGCCAATCTCTTCGCGAAACTGTTCAATGGACAAGCCACCCACTGGTTCCTGCGCATCCCGGACAGACTCCCGTAGATTCGAGCGTGCCGGGGGAACTTTGTTCTGTGCCTCCCAACCATTCATCTCGTAACCATGTTCTGCGTCCGCAGTACGGACCTTGGGAACCCCATTCCTCGTAGACTTCTTCCTGCGCGGCGGCGACACCTTCAATTCTGCATCATCGTCCATCTTTCGTTGCACATGGGTCTCCATCACGGACGGTCGGAGGCGTTGAGTACGAGGATCAGGAACCGGTGTCGACTCTCCACTCCCTCGGTCATCATAGTCCGCCGGCTCGTCCCTCAACGACCTCTGTCTGGTAGGCAACAACGACTGCGTAGACTGACGAGGAGTTTCCGTCTCTGCGTCCGAGATCATTTCATAGGCTGTCCGAAACGACTCGGCGTGCGATGAGGAGGAAGAAGACAGTCCAAAGTGCGACAGTCCCGGACGCGGGGCGGAAGGAGCGACACGCGGGGGAGTAGTTTCAGGCGTGGGTGGATGGGACGGCTTGGAGGTCACCGCCCCGTTCACGGAGTAGGATGAAGTAGCTTTTGGCGTGCTTGTTCCGCTGCTCATGAGGTCTTCGCTCTGAGCAACTCCAGGCGGCGTTAAAGGACGGACGGGAGCGGCTGCCAACGGGGTGGCATTTGAAGGGCGGCCATGCTGAGGTTGAGGCGTTGCCTCGATGGCTGGAGGGCTCCAGAGGACATTTGGCCTTCGTCGTAGAGACTTGTGGGCCCTCAACTGGGGCGGGTCCAGGTGTCCTGGTGAGGCGAGAGACGTGTTCACGACTTCCAGGCCGGGCATGGTGAGATGGCCCAACTGTCTGGGATGCCCAATTGGCGGACCCGACGGTCGTGGCAATCCGGACTGATATTTGTCACAAGCGATCACAGAGGGTGATTGGCAAGAGGATCATGACACTTGAGTTGTTTCAATGGAGATTGGTCCCAGCTAATAGCTGACGACGTCGCATCGCCTGCTTACCGCAGCAGTTCGGAGTGTGAGGTTGAGTTTCAAACAAGCAGATAACGTTTACTACAATGGATAAGAAACCCCAAAAAGAGGTGACCGTTATGGACAACGGCTACCTTGGACACATTCACTGGATCTTTATCTTTTCTTTTCTTTTTTCTTTCCTGCCAACCCTGGACAAAGTTTGTTGTAAAAGCGACTGAGCGGCGGCCAGCAAGGGAGGGAAGTGGATGGACAGCGCAAGGGAAGGAACACGGTAAACTAACGAATTAATGCCCACCCCAGCGCGTCTTACAAACCAGACCGATGCCAATTCTTCCGGTCAGCAGCGATTATGCTCCTCCAGGGGCATCGACGATTCCAAAAATAGAGAATATAATTAAGAATTGGGGCCAGGCAAGGCGTGACACGCAGGAGGAAACCCCGTTGGCACAGAAAAGGTCCGAGGAGCGCGACGACGAGGCAAGACGGATGAGTCGCAAAGACATTCCACGTTGCGGATCCAGCGCGCGGTGCACTCAGCGGACCGCCCCAGGTCAATCCGGGATAGTGACCGCGATTAAAGTCGTGGGTCGGCTTGGCAAACTACATGGAGGAAAGCAGAGGGGGAAGGATGAGGCCCAAGTATGGCAGGGCTGGCTAATTGGTGGTCTGGAGAAGCGCGACCGAATGGAAGTGGGAGAGAGATGATGAGGGGGAATGGATGGAGGGATTGATTTGTTCGGAGAATCGGCGACGATCCAGTGACTCGCCCTGCAGTTGTCACGGGATGCTCCGAAATGCTATAGGCTCACACTACTATAAGACGGGGTTACTACAATTGCCATATAGGATCGGGAAGTACCCGAGGCATCAAGGTTATTGCTACACAGTACACCAGACGATGTGGTGTCGACACGGTTAAGTAACTTCTCCCAAGTATATATCGACACCGCCGGTTACTGTAGGTTCCTGATCGCGTTGAACAAGGAATTGCATCATCGATGACATGAGTCCCCCTGCAACGTTGGCAGAAATCTCGGGAGTGGCGTGTGTAATCCATGGTCGACCACAGTTGAACCATCCCCTCAGACCGGGAACACAGTAACTAGCCATAGGACCCGCGATTGTTGTTTGCCGGCGCTGGATCGGATCCGACTTTTGCTGAGAAGCGGAATGGGTAGGCGAGCAGAGCAGCCACTTAAGTAGGCACGGGATGGCCCCCCAAAACGAGGGATTAAACTGCGCATATGATGACATGACGACCAGTGAGAAGAAGAGTCTGACGATAACTCGAACCGGAATAAAGGGCTAGACCCAGATCTTTGTTGTATAATCAGGACAGAGCTTGTATCTCGCGTTAATCTAATCTACTACGTACTAATGTCATTTCCGATTTGAAATCAGTCATGGGGGAGGATATGAAGAAGCCATGACGGGATATGACGCAGTGTGAGATGGTCAGTGAGCAGCCACCAAATGGAAGAGAAATTCGGGAGTAATGAAGCGAGGTGAGGGAAAGATTAAGTATGGGGTTAGTTAGTGGGAAGCAATGATAGATGATGAAGAAGGCGAAAAGGCGATGATGCCAGAAAGAAAGACCAACTGACACAGAGAGAGACAATCGGCACGCGAGGCTGGCTGAGTCATCACCCACAGAAGGAACCAGACTAACCCGAACCGGCAAGTCAGCCTAGGCGAAGATCCCCTTCGACGTCATGGCTGCTTGCAATTCCACCTCCGCTGGCCGATGACGCTCCATGCCGTTCATTCGATTTCCCTCCTCTTTTCTTTTTTCGATTTAGATTTATTTAATTTTATTTGATCTTACACTTCCTCATGCATCGGCATGTGTTCTTGAAATTATAATCTTAATAGCCTCTCATCCGTCTTCGTCCGCCATTGATTTTATTTCTGATTCCTGCCACGGTGCTCCCTCACGTTGTGCTGCCTGCAGTCTGTCCAGCTGCCCTCATCCATCCATCATCCATCCATCGATCTGCCCATCGGCCAGCATTTCCCCACCATCCTGTCCTCTCGCTTTCTCTCCGTCTCCATTTCAGCTGAAAGAGAAAGGGAAAGAAGATTAAATTAAAATTAATTTACTCTACGACGATTATTTTGTGACTGGTGTCCCGTCAATCCTCCAATCCTTTCATCCAGAATTTCGACTGTGGTTCTTTACTGGGGTGTGTCTTTTTGACTGTGCAGCAAGCAGCAGTGATCTCACTCACAGGTAATAAAATACTCATCCCAAAAATACCCTCCCCTCTCCTCTTTGCTCCTCCCACCCCTTCTTGTGTGTGTCCATTTTCTTTGTTCGGTCCTGCCACCTTGTAATTTAGTTTGACAAATCCCGATCGATCATCTTCCCGAAACGTCATGGTCTTGTCTTTTTGCAGTTATTCTGTCATTACTCACGCACATCTTTCCTTAAGTGACTGTATTTCCCAACTGACACTAACGGACAATTACAGTTTAGGCCTTGGCGGGGTAAAAAAGCACCAGCAGCTAAATTAGACACAGTTTAACCCAAAAAAGGACAAAAACGAAAAAAACAGAGACACAGAGAATCTTGGTTCCTTCCCAATCACATTTCATCATCTGGCTTTCATTTCTTCTTCCTCGTCCTACTGACCTTGCCTGACTCCTACTATTTCCTACTACTACTTACTGTCTGGCCTCTTTCTTCCCTCCCTTTTTCCTCCCCCCCCCTACTACTTACTTCTCTTCACTTTCCTTTTTCCTCATTCCCTGTCCCTTTCTTTCCCTTTTCTTCCATTGTAATCCCCCACTTCCCCTTCCCTCCCTCCCTCCCCCCCCTTACTCAGCACACACACTATGAGTACCATACAAAGTCTCAAGAATTTCATACGTCATGGCAAACAAGCCCGCCTGGTGACGCCGCATGCCGAACCCACCACCAATGTCTCTCCCATTCATGCCGAACAACAACGTCAACCCCAGGGCTCCTACCCTCCCGCTGCTGGCAACCTGGATGCCATTGACAGCAGAATGGGCAACGGCCAGGCTCAGCCGTCCCAGAAGAATTCCGATCAGACCCGCCGCGCGCGCGAGGCCGAACTCGAGCAGATTATCGCAGAGGAAAAGAGCAGTCGCAACAAGATGCCCCGATATCCCGGCCTCGAACGTTATACCCTCGTCGAGAAGATGGGCGATGGCGCTTTCAGTAACGTCTATCGCGCCAGGGATAGCACCGGCGAATATGGCGACGTGGCCATCAAAGTTGTCCGGAAGTTTGAAATGAATAGTAATCAGGTAGGAACTGCAACCACAAACTCGTTTCCCTTGGTTGTGTCATGGTTTTTATGCGCATTCTGGTTATTCCTCTTTATGCTGCTCTCTGTGTTTTCTGATTTGCTGGTTTGCCTTGTATTCTCTTTACATCTCTCTTTTTCTCTTTCTGAGTCATTTCGCCAATCTCTTGTCGATAGTCATCCGCCCATCTACATCCCGGGTTGAAGAAGAAACCCAAAGCTACAGAGGTGCGCAATCCCTCTGGGATGATCTATCATGAGTCACCCATCCAAGTCGCATGGGTCGCCTGATACCCTGCCCTTGCAATGTCTTCTTTTCGCCTCCCCTTGCTACCAATGACTCCAAAAGTGTTTGCTCGAGCTAATGACTCATTTGTTTCTTAGCGCGCCAATATCCTGAAAGAAGTCCAGATTATGCGCCAGCTAGATCACCCGAATATCGTCAAACTGGTCCAGTTTTCCGAGTCGCGCCAATATTACTACATCGTGCTGGAACTCTGCCCTGGTGGCGAGTTGTTCCATCAGATCGTGCGATTGACCTACTTCAGCGAAGACCTTAGTCGTCACGTCATTCTTCAAGTCGCCAAGGCCATTGAGTATCTTCATGAGACATCCGGTGTCGTGCATCGGTAAGGCCTGACCTCCTACGCGCTCTGGTCCGCCCCCCCTGGCTTTGCTGACTTTTGCGACAGTGACATCAAACCCGAAAACCTTCTCTTCTACCCCATCGACTTCATCCCGAGCAAAAACCCCAAACCTCGTCAACCTGGGGACGAGGACAAGGTCGATGAAGGCGAATTCATTCCCGGAAAGGGCGCCGGCGGCATTGGTGTGATTAAGATCGCCGATTTTGGTCTGTCCAAGGTCATCTGGGACAGCCAAACTATGACGCCCTGTGGAACTGTCGGCTACACCGCGCCCGAGATTGTCAAGGATGAGAGATACTCGAAGAGTGTTGATATGTGGGCCCTGGGCTGTGTTCTCTACACCCTCCTCTGTGGCTTCCCGCCTTTCTATGACGAGAGCATCCAAGTTCTCACCGAGAAGGTCGCGCGTGGTCAATATACTTTCCTGTCGCCGTGGTGGGACGATATCTCCAAGTCGGCGCAGGATTTGATCTCCCATCTGTTGACGGTTGACCCGGAGAAGCGGTACACGATCAAGCAATTTTTGGAGCACCCGTGGATTCGTCAGACCGACGAAGCAACCGAAGCAGCTGCAGATGCTCCGCCTCTGGCAACCCCGCTAACCACCCGCAAAACACAACAACTGGACGCCTTCGCGGCCGATCAAGCGCCCTACGCCCCGGCCAGCGCCCGTCTCATGGACCCAGCTTCTGCCGGTCTCGAGCGCCCCATGGACTTCCGCTCTCCTGGAGCGATCAATCTGCGCGAGGTCTTCGACGTGGGTTATGCCGTTCACCGACAGGAAGAGGAAGGCAAGCGACGCAAGAACTTCCGCCAAGGGTATCGTGGTGCGAACCCGTCTACAGCATTCCAGTCTGCGCTTAATCCGTTGAACGAAGACTACGACGAGGCTGAAGAGATCACCTACCAACCTCTTCCTCGGGAAGATTTCCCTCCGGCTAAGATTCCCAAAGCCTCCCAGCAAGCCAGTGACGTAGCGGCCATGGAGGCAAAACTTCGATCGACGAACCTGGGCGCGCCTAGCCACGCCGCGCAAGCGCGCCAAGCGCACCAGCCCCGACAGCAGCAAGGATACGGCCAGCACAGCGCCAAAGTGGCAGCCGCTGCGAAGCAGAGCATTGCGCGGGGTGCGCGGGAGCCCTTCGAGCTGAGTCTCGACAACGCCACCTTATTAGAAAAGAGAGGTCGACGACAACAGGGCCAGGTTGCTTAAGCCTCTCTCTTTCCCAAACTCTCTCTCTCCATCTCCCAAGATCCGCAACACTACCTGACGCCTCGAGAGCCACAGGCTACGAACTCCCCTTGCTTATGAGTTTCTTGATCTGATGACCTAACCCTTATTCCCCCTTCCCCTTATTCGAACGTTGGACAGGATCCCGGGTGGCTACACACGAACTCGATCGGTCGCATTTATTCTGGGTGTTTCTTTTTTATCGTTGCTATTTTCTTCTTCTCTTACCTCTTCCTTTCATGGCTGGTAATCCTTTTTTTTTTTTTTTTTTTCCTACTCATGTTTTAGCTGTATTCGGGTTCTGGGCACAGCATATGGTATGGTCCCTTTTCTTCACATTTGTACTGATTGTTGCTGGGCTGTTTTGCTCGATGAATGTCATTATGTGCGTGCCATTTTCCTCGGGGGCTATACATTTACATGCTTTGATGCTTCAGATGCACATACATACACATTTGCGAAAGGAGCACATCCGTGGCATGGATTATTCACGATGCGTGGTGGGCTATATCTATGGATATCACTGCAACTGCTTCCTTTTTCTTCTCGGGATAGTCCGGCGTATGTACGTTTTGCTCTCTTTCTTTCGTAACTAAAAGCAAAATCCTGGTCGATCTATGTTAGTATCTCTAGATGGCCGAAACGGATGAACATGATCATAGTTCATGTCTGTAGAATTATGCCTTGAGCCTAATTGGTGCATTCCGCGTAGCTCTTTTACACAAGTATAGTAGTGCATACTGCCTTGGAAGACCCCAAAGAACCAAGGTGTCTGCATGTATATCCATACAGACCTGACTCCCTGTGCCCTAGATGATACAACTTATTTTCATACAGTGTGCAGTATCACCCTTTTGTCTAAATAGAAAAGAAAGAATAAATTGCTAATCCCATCTATAACAGTGCTTAAAGTAATTCTCATGGTTTCCAATTTTGCAGTACGTAGTAAGTAGTAGAAGAAGAAGCAGGCAGCAGTCGCAGTACTACTAGTAATAGTAGTTCTAAATAGTAATGGTAGTATTATTAGCAGTATAAGTAGTCGTAGTCGTAGTTGCAGTAGTAGGTAGCACTAGTAGCAACACATGTGAATCTAATATCACCACCACTCTTGTACCCAATCCACTTATCGGGTATATACCCCCCATCCGTAATTACCATCTATATAATCAAGACTCTTATCTATTTAGTATTGGAACTTCTTACCTCGATTCTGAAACTTAATAGCAAGTATCTGTCTTTCTATCTATCTAGTCCCTTACTCAGGACTTGTATAACCGATTGAGGAGAGGAAAAGGACATTAGTTTATCTAGTTGATATGTTGTCTATGGACGTAGTATACAGTATGTAGTATGTATGAGGGATGAGAGTGATGATGAGAGTGAGTGGAGAGGAGTGGTCGGGGACCGAAGATTAGTAGTATACTTAGTACTATTGATCACTGCTTAAAGTGTGTGCTACGCTGAATGAGGATGGCTATACTGTGTAAGAGTGTTCCTTATGATTGATTGGAAGGAATACAAGATTACTACTATAAACATGTGGTTAATATTGAAATTCATATGGATTTCATTTCACTTCCTATGCTATCATGCTCCTTTTTTTGTTTCTTTTGATCCTATATACGGCTAACCAAAAGAAAAACGGCATGCATCCACGTCATACAACATAAGTATATCAACACACGAAGAGTAGTACAACCGAACAAGTCAGTAGACGGAACTAATCAATCAAGCGGGCATGTATACATATATCCACCAGGCACTATGTGCAATCCCGTCGTCCATGCAAGCCATTCAAAACATGGGTATCATGCATCATTCCAATATGCTCGCTTACCCAAGAAGTTGAGACATGAGCGTATAAACATAACCAGCCGTGATGGTGAAGATAATAATGAAAAGAACATATAAATGTGTGCCTCCCTTTTTCCTCTTTTGTTTTGTTATCATTTACAGCGTCTGCTTTCCCCGGGTTTCAATAGGGAGAAGACACATGGCCACGAATGCGGCCAGGATCAATCCACCAGATGCGTAGATAGGAGCATCTGGGTTGGAACTTCCGCCGTAGATGGCCACGAGAGGCGCGCACAGTCCCGCAATGCGGTTTAGGCAGCTGGAAATGCCAGTGGCCGTGCCACGGTTCGGAGCCGGGAAGACCTCGGGAGTGTAGGCGTACAAGACGCCGTACATGATGTTCTGGAAGAAAGCCTCGAGGCAGGAGCAAAGCAGTTGGATGTTGGAGTTGGTCGAGGCCGTGAAGCAGAAGAGCAGAACTCCGGTAATCAAGGTGGAGATAACCATCGTACCCTTACGGCCGACATACTTGATCTCAACAGTGTAGCAGGCCAGGATCGACCCAGGGACACCGACAATCGAAGTGATGGCATAGTTCCGGTAGGCAATGTATGTAGAGCTGGAGCTGGAGCCACCTGCACGCTCGAGGTACTGGGGGAGGAAGGCATTGAACAAGGGATATCCCATTCCGATCGTAGCCCAGCAGAACCAGAGGAGAACGGCTGAAAAGTTGACTAGTTAGCCTAGGTTAAGAAAATGGAGTGTTGTGTTGAACACATACTGGAGAAACCAAGCTTTTTGGAGGAAAAGAGGGGTCCAATGCGCTCCAAGGAAAATTTGGACAGATTCCTCCGCACGATTTCAGCAAAGCTGAGCTTTTCCTCTGCCACCTCTTCAGGATAACCACCAATTTCGTTGAGGATTTCCTCAGTCAGCCACGTCTTGGTTCGGTTCTTGTGGGCAATGCCGTGAACGGAAGCAACAGCATCGCTCTGACGGCCGCGTGCAAGCAAATACTTGGGCGACTCGTATAGATGGAAGAGGAAGAAGCGGCAAATGAACATGACGAAAGTAAGGGCACCCAGCGTGAAGCACAAGTAGCGCCACCCCATGTTGCTTTGCTTAGTGCAGCACGCCTCTCCGCTAGCAACGTTACCACAAGCAGGCAGATCGCTGCTGCAGCTGTAGTTCGGAATAAACGCCCATGCGAGTAGACTAATTGATTACTTGTTAGCCACAGACTCAAGACGCTAGATGAGGATGACATACCTGGAGATTAATTGGCCGAGAGGCCACCAGACACTCAGCATTGTCAGAAGATTTCCCGAAGCAAAAGGCAGGAATTCCAAAAATAGAGCCCCGTCGACGGGCAGGTTACCGCCTACACCAAGACCCAAACAAGCATACAGGGCACAGGCTCTAGCATGAGACATTAGCAAGCGTCGACTTCGCAGACTACCAAGGGGACGCACCCGATCCAAGTTGGGGCACCACCGGCGGCGATGCCAAAGACACCGCAAATGAATAGGGTCATATTGAAAGCCGGGCGACGGCCGATGATGTCGGACGCGATACCCCAGAACGATGCACCAATGCAAAGACCCAAGAACAAGGAGCATGTTGTGAATCGGACCCATGTGGTAGAAACCCCAAATTCCGAGGCAATCGGGGTTAGTGTCAATGCAACACCCTTTTAGCGGTTAGTAAAACAGCCACCAAAGACGATATCTTCGCCGAAATCAAATGTATCTATCTCACCTGCAACCAGAGACTGGAGTAGACCAACGTTAGCTGATGTATAAGTAATTCGCACGAGGGAACCACTTACTTGTCTGCTAGCCAACCAAAACCACAGAGCGCAAAAAGTTGCCACTGGTAACGGCCCATGCCAATATCCTGGATGGCTCTATTGATGAGTTTTGCCTTGCCTATATAGAAGATCACAATCAGATCTCGGACTTTCGAAGGTGCCCAGGCACGAGGCTAATCATTCTTTAAAAGTTTCGAGAAAGCAAGGAAGCAGAGCAGGGAAAAAGGACAGCAGCCGCCCCATGGGGCAACATCAGAACATACGGTCATACGCAGTGTCTTTGCCTGATGTCGCAACATCCGCCTCAACTTCAGCGCGAAGGGCCTCGATGGTCAGGGTGTTGTAATTGTGGACAGACCCTACGCCGGCTTCCGAGGAGGGAGCCCTATCCAAGCTCCTATTGTCAGTCTTCTCATCAGGGCGGTCGGTTTTTTCTAGTTCAGGGTTCGGCTTGTGATGCGGAGGGGCTTCGGACAGGGGGACCACGACCCCAGGGAAGTCGTGGTCATTTTTCCGGAAAGGGTTGACTCCGAAAGGCATGGTTGTTGGACTTTATTGACGATGTCGCATGCGAGGGCAACTTTCGATATGGGCTGTGGCACCGGGGGCAAATTGGGGGAATAGGATCGATGGTCTGCTTTGGCGGGCTTCAACGTGAGTCGAACTACTTGTCGCTATGGTCTGCAAGGGTATTTCTCTATCGATATCCGGGATGCTCAGAAAGCTAGGGGCCACCGATGGCTTCGCAATTGTCGCTAGGGTCAGATACAGTAGGCGCAATGGCTGTATAACCGTGACAGGTTGGTGCTAGGGACAGGCTGAACAGGAACCGATACTCGGGGGCCGAATAAAAGGCGCTCAGGGATTTCAGTGGCCGGATACTCGTGGGTCTTATGTCGAGGCTATTGAGCGCACGTCGTACAGCTGAAATCGAGCAGACGGTTTTCGCCTTTGCTGGAGCAGGTTTGAAATATATCCAAAAGGAGTCAATGGTATATAAAGTAATGCCAGGGGTAAAGAAGCTAGGGACGCTGAGAACTGCAGCTCAGTCGACCTATAGACGACAGGGACGGAGAATGAAGAGGTATAAGAGGGCAAGGAACAGTGATGGTTCCGACTGACAGGTCGAATGGATCGAACCTTCTTCCCAGAGCGATGAGATGGCGCACGGAGTAGAGGATCAATCGACTGCACTCGCTGTCGTCTTCAAGCCGACTCTTTTAAGAAATGCAACGGTAGAGGGGGGAAAGAGATGCGGGAAGGGGGTGGGTAGTATATGAGGTGGTAGAGAAGAGTGAGGGTAAGCACAGGAAAGAACCAAGATTTGGGGGATGAGGAGAGGGAAGCTGAGGTCTATATACGCATCCAGCTTTGGACTGAAAGCTAACATGAAAAAGGAGAAAAAGACTGCATCGCAGAAATTCCCATCGCAAATCACTGTTTCTGCCCTCTTTCCTATTTTTCTTTTTTACTTTTTCTGTCTGCTACTACGATACATGGGGTGGTATGGGTCCGTCCCTGTAAAATAAATTAGTGCTTTTTGCAAACGCCGGGAAGTGGCAAGTGCCCACGACTTAGTCTCCTAGAAGAGATGTAATGCAACTGGTCGGCAAAAATTTGTTCAATACCTTGGCAGCTGTAAAATCAATGCATATTTTCTCTTCACCCCTCCTCCGAGTATATCGAAATGCTGGCATAAAATTATTTCGGAGGGGCGTAGATAGGCTTTCGCATGACTCTCAGGATGCAAATACCGTGATACGCGTACTGATCCCGTATGGCGCCCCATACTTTGGCCGGACTCAGGCTAGCGCGGGGCGATGGAACCACACCGGCCGAAACCGAAGTCCAACCTCAACAATGCTGATTGGACCGTCTATACCTTGGTAGGGCGTCTTGGCATTGACGGCGGACGCCATGGCCCTTGGCAGATGCAGACTGCAGCGATACCCCGGCGACAATCGACTTGACGATTGGAGCAACGTCTTACCAAAAGAGATGATATGATAGGGAATATGTAGGGCTTATCTTTCGAAGAACTCATAGAGATAGGAGTACTCGGTTTGCCACAAAGAAGAGCGGGAAAAAGGATGTTTTGAAGCGGCAAACCCATAGCTCTGACTTCTTGGTATGCAATAAATGCTGCACAGCACATTTTTTCTCTTCACTACCGGGAAAGGGTGCACTAGGAAAGCCACTTTTACCTTAACCCACTTCTCGGCGGTAGCCAGCAACGTTGACTGGATGCTAGAATCGAGGATTCCTCGGGAGGTGCCAGATCTTCCGAGCAATAAGACAGCTCGGCTGGCATTCATCTCCGCAACGTGCGTTGGTTCATCCCAACGCAAGGGAGGCTCTCCATGGTGCCGGCCGAGGCGCATGGTCAGAATTTGGGGTAATGATGCCATCCGAAGAAGCTTAACTCGGCGTCATCAGTGAACATGTCCTTCGAACGGCTCAGGACTGTGTGTACACAATAGAACTAGTCTTTCCGGCACTAGAATATCCTCACATGAGCACAAACGACTCGTTCCACGTGCCAGATTTGCCCGATATTCTCCTACGTCATCGCCATACTTCTGTATGACGCTAATCCCAACTGGGACTAGTCAAAGTTACCTGACAACATCGGTACCGGGCAGAGAGATCTTACAATTTAGGATGCCATGGCCACTAAGGCACTCCGTTGGCGCAGTTGAAACCTGATTTGGTATGTGAGTATCCGCCTTCCTGGTCTCCCATAATTCGAAACTACTAGGGACTGGTGGACTTCGTCGTACCATAAGGATAGAGGCCTGAAGTTCATGTTCAACAGACACGAGTATCTTACATCCGATCTGCACCCTGAAGATGGTAACCGTAAGCCACGAGCGCAGCCGCACCAGAAAACTTACCCGTCCAGCATGCATGTAGGAACGTACTAGGAGTCGCCGACACGAGACACCATGATGAAGTAGGTTTAGAGTCCCAAGACGACCGGCCTTTCCCAGACGGGAATGGCACGGCAGAGGCCTGACCCTGAGGTCGCCAGTCCAATCCCAGCAGGGATCATCGTTACACTGGTCCGTCACCACTTCCGCAACCGTTTCTCAGATAGTACCCGTTTCCCTGGTCGTCCAATCATCACCCAGCAAGCAAGTCCTAATTTCCTACAGACGGACATCTCTACTTACTAATGGGGCCACGGGCCACCAATGGCTTTGGCTCAGAGGCAGAGTGGTTGTAATACTAAGTACTAAGTACGTACTTGTAGTCATGCAAATGGCTCCCCAATTTACCTACCGGGCCAACCACAGGCAGTTCCCTTTCAACAAAAGGGTGACCTGCTAAATGGGGGCCAAGACCAGCATGTCGTAAAATACAACCTACGGCTGTCCACTTACAAGCGATTTCTCTGCCGTCAAAGTCCGCTCACTATTGCCCTTTTGATCATGGTCAGTTTTCGGGCCATCTTGTTTTCCGCGGGAAGGTACGCCGGTGGTACGCTCGCGCCATAAGCTGGAGGACTAGAGAGAGGCCGTAGGCCAAGTTCATGCTTATGCTTCAGTCCTGGTTGCCTCACTTCATGGCTGGGCTGGACCATGAAATCATATCGACTGCACCAGGATATCCACTAAACAGATAGCCGCCGAGATCGAACCCCTCATTTCCCTCCATCTCCGGCTGATGAATGTATCTTCAACACACCCGGCGGCGACAGACGATGGCTTGAGCACTGCGTTCGACAAAACAAGACGGGAAAGCTTCCAAACTAAGCGGACTGCAGACGAGTTGAGTCGCTAATGAAGATCCAGTTCGTAGAGATCTCATGTATCAGTAGCTTATGGAAAGACTATCAAAATGCGGAGACGGTGTCGGGACAGTTTTTCTCTATCGGGACATATTATCCAGCTTCATATCGAAGTCTCTCGGCGCCACTTCCAACGCAATCCGGAAGGAGACGAGCGAGGACGTGCTCTTCGAATGGTTGTTCGTGGACTTATCCCCTCCGCTTCTTCACTCGGACGCAAAACGTTGGGACTCCCGTGAGCCATTTCTTTGAAGACTAGTGTTCTGTCACGAGTTTAGCGGACTTGGAGCAATCAGGTACTGATTAGAACAATGACCCCGAGCAGCTGCGCGTTCTCCGCAGAGCCATGAGCTTCTGGACTTAAGGAGAATTAGTTGACGTCAGTCGAACACTAGCCGGGTCTTGGAGCATGAGAGTACATTATCTCATCTTGTCACAAAGGATGGCATGTCCGCAGTCGTTTTGGCCAGCTCCAACTTCGGGGTAAACGCTCCCCCTAGCCGACTGGTGTTGTAGTTGGGGAGATAGATACCCTTTGACACCGCCACAGATGGAGGAGGTAATGAATGGCCTTCGGAACCGGAGAATGGATAGCCCCGGCGGCCAGCGACACGTGATCGGCGACCGAGCATCGAGGGGCTGCGCAGTGCGCGCCTGAGCCTTTGGTGCGCGCTCCCTTTAAGGCCAATATGCCAAAACAATACTCCGCATCATAACTCTGATCACCTCCTGGCTATGTACTGCGCCACATGCCAATGTGGGGGGTAGATATCACTTATTTTGAATTTCTCTGTCTCTCTGGCAATCTTTCAGGTCCTCGTCCGGCACCAGAGTCGCTCGTGTCGGTTCTCACAGTTCATACACCACCACCATGACCAAGATCTTGACCTCCAGCCAAGCTGAGGAACTGTGAGTATATTTATGCCATGGCCTGCCGTACCTTGCTTGCGCGCTTATACGCAACCCAGGCATAAGTCGATTATCGCATACCTTTCATCAATAAATGCCTCGCGGAGTTGTGAAGTGCTGCGGGAGGAACTCCAAGTGGACAGTAGTTTCGACGATGCGCTGTGCCGGAAATACGAGGGGCTATTAGAGAAGAAATGGACCGGAATTGCTCGGCTGCAGAAAAAGGTAGGTGCATGTGTTTGACAGGGTTGGTCGCATGGAGTTGTTTCTTCTTTCATCGTCGCTGGAGGAGCTCGGTAACTAATCACTGTGTAGATCTTGGACTTAGAATCTAAACTCGCTGGCCTCCAAACCGAGCTTGACACTATATCACCTACAGCCCGCTCCACCGGGAAAGATCCGATAAACTGGCTTCCCACTTCTTCCCGACATACATTCGAATCGCACCGAGATGCTGTCACTTGCGTCGCATTCCATCCTGTCTTCACCTCTCTCGCCTCCGGTTCCGAGGACTGCACAATCAAAATATGGGATTGGGAACTCGGCGAACTAGAGCGGACACTCAAGGGTCACATGAGGCCGGTCTCCGATCTCGATTTTGGCGGTCAGAAGGGACATACAATACTAGCATCGTGTTCGAGTGATCTCCAGATCAAACTGTGGGATCCGAATAAGGATTATGCCAATGTTCGGACACTTTCTGGACACGACCATTCAGTTTCGGCTGTGCGCTTTTTGCGACAGACAGATAACATCCTTATCTCGGCCAGTCGGGATGCAACGATCCGGATATGGGATGTGTCGACCGGATACTGTGTTAAGGTGATCGACTCGCAGGGCTCCTGGATCAACGACGTGTCTCCTTCCTTCGATGGAAAGTGGTTGGTGACGGGAGGCCGTGATCAAGCCGCGATGGTTTGGGAAGTCGCATCAGCCAAATCGGTTGCGTCATTAATAGGTCACGAGAATTTCATCGAGTGCTGCGTCTTTGCGCCTCCCTCAAGCTATAAGCACTTGGCTGCTATTGCGGGACTAAAGACAGCACCACCTGCAAGTAGCTCCTCCGAATTTATTGCGACGGGAGCCCGTGACAAGACGATCAAGCTCTGGGAATCCCGGGGCCGCCTGATCAAGACATTAGTTGGACACGACAACTGGGTACGAGGCCTATTGTTCCATCCTGGCGGAAAGTACTTAATCAGTGTTGCGGACGACAAAACAATACGTTGCTGGGATCTGTCTCAAGGGGGAAGATTGGTGAAGACGATCAACGCCCACGGGCATTTTGTTAGTTGCATTCGTTGGGGCCCAGTACCTGTGAGCGATGTTCCAGTGGAGACTTCTGAATCGACTAAAAGTTCCAAGACGGACTCTGTCAAGCCTGGGTTTCAATGCGTCATTGCAACAGGGAGCGCCGATTCAAGTGTACGGATTTTCACGTAGTTTCAGAGGTAAATGATTGCATATATCCTAACCTTTTCAAAGACTAATACCAATACGAAGACTCAGATTCATGAAGCTCCCTCCTCCCATCCGCAAGACACATACACACATCCATGTAAATGCAATCCCAGGAGAAACAAACAAGGCCCGACATTCCGAGATCGAGGTCAAGGTCGATGTCTCCAGCCGCAGAACCCTTTTTTCCTGTACACAAACAAACACAAACACACTGCTGCTTATGACGGTCCCCGACCAGGAAGAATTGATTGATGAAATGATGAATGAGATTATGACTGAAGCTGAATCTGATACACACACGTTGGTTGTCTAGAAATAACATGACGATGTCTGAAGTAGGAGAAGGAGAGGTCTTAAGAGGGGGAACCTGTTACACACACACACACACACATACACACACACACCCCCCACAGAGTCATGTCGGGATCAGATACCAGACATGCAGCGCTTGCGAAGCAAAAATCACAACGCAGTGCGACCTTATCCCACCACCACCCAGACAGAGATGGAGACGAGCAATTTCTTCACGCATCGCATCATCCCTGTCTATTTTTCTATTTTTGCATACCCCCATCTATTGAGCAGGGCACCCACATCCCTTGCTGTATTTGACCTTTTTCCCCCTTCATCTTTCATTCGACTCAAGAGAGCCGGTTCCAACAAGGCGTCCGTCTCCCCTTACAGGAAGCATTTCGTGGAACGGGGTATTTCTCTTCGCAACAAAGGCGCACGGTCTAGACTACTTAGAGAGACTCTGCGGCTTTTCTGTTTCTTTGGCATCATACTTACTACTATCTTGATTGTAAATAACTTCTCTATCTAGCTAGCTTTAGTGCCAATTGCTTATTTACATACATAGATTATTGGCAAGGTGTTTCGTCGTGTCCTCTTCATGCGCTACCACATCAGTGGGAGATGCTGTGTGACCGACTTATTCCTACCACTCACTCACTCTCTTGGACTATCCTTCATCCTCAGAACATTTACGTTAGCAGTACGTGTCTCGGACAAGGCACATTGTGCAATTCTATGCGATTGGGCTACATCTTCAGGATTAACTCGAGTTTACTGCCACTTTTACTTTTGAAACTGCCAATAAAAGCTGCTCATGTACATTCGCGCAACGTATCTACAGATCATAACTTATATCTTTACTATCATCACAACATCATCCCTTATCCTAGCCTAACCAACCTTACAGGGTATCCCGCCGACCAAGCAGCCACTCAAGGTGACGGTAGGACACTCTCGGCTGAAACTGAGGCTGCATGTGACCACTCTGGAAGGTCTCAGCCCACATAAGACCTCGCTCATAGTGCTGAATGCCCATAACGCCCTGACCACCTTGCGGGTCATAGCCGTTCTCAACGAACACTTCATTGTACATGAGGTCCGGGATATCGATGTTGATGGGGGTGCTCGGGGCAGTATCAAACCCAAGCTTCCCATTCCACGTCATATTCTGGATGGATAGAAGGGTGCCATTGGTGAGGATAACCATGTCATAGTCACCGTTACCGATCAAAACGCGGTTAGTGCCTTCAATGACCTGCGGCAGGACATGTTCGATAGGGTTGGCTGAGAAATCGCCCTCCTGTTCGGGCCCGCCGTCACCTCCGACGAAGACGCTCTCCACGGAGCACTCGGACCAGGTGATGTTGGGAGCGTGCATGGCACGCTTGACGTCTGCGCGGTCGAAGTAGATGGTGGCCCCTGCGGGGAGGTAGTCGAGTTCGGTGGGGAAGCCGAGGACGTCCCAGAGGAGGGGGCACATTTCGTTGATTTCGTAGGGGTTGAAGCATGGGTTGGGGTCCAGGACGGCGTCGTTGACGATGTCGTATACATCGCAGGTGGGGTCGCTCCAGTTCATAGCCTTCGGTGGTTGGACTCCGGATGCGGGGAAGACTAGATACTGGTCGATGAAATCTTTGTATCCGCATTGCTCATGGAGGGTTTCTAGCTCCGCTAGGAAGCTTGCGTTGAAGTTAAAGAGGGCGTTGTTCTTCTGGACGAAGGGGACAACTGGTGCTTCTTCCTGCACGTAGTCGAATTGGCCGATACAGGGGTCATAGGCCAGTGCACCTGGGTAGTAAGGTTAGTCGAGGACTCGAAATGGAATTCTAGGTTGGTTGGTAGAGGATTGATTACCTTTCAGGTTGAAGTGTTCTGTATCGTTCTGATCCAGGAAGGCCGCGGAGATGTAAGGAACATAGCGGCCCGCATAACTTTCTCCAGTAACATAGATTTTGAAGTTCTTGATACCGAAGATCTGCTGCCAGTTCTTGAAAAACTTCACAAAGTCTTCAGCAATCTCCTCCTCGGATGTAGCGGTTGGCACTCCCAGAGAGAATCCCGTTCCCACGGGTTGGTCAACCCTATAAAAACAAATTAGGTCGACACTCTTTCCACATACTCAACCAGCAATTCAGGAATGTTACACACTTACCACAGAACGTTAGTAAGATTCACCCATGAGTATGGGTTCTCAACAGGTTGGTAGGTTCCGGGCTGCCACACGAATCT